ATGCTCCCCGGTAGTGACATCGATTGCTAGCAAGGCAACCGGGTCCGGCGGAGTGAGGAGAGACGTCGCCCCTCTCCTTGCGTAACTCAATTTCCCAAGTTGGCTGGACGGGGTACGCGTGCCTTGCCCTTGTCCGGGCATTGTGCGGTAGTGTGTACGACACTATTGCACCATAGGCAATATCCATACCGTTGACGCAAGTCAAAGATTTCCTTGGTGGTCTTGTATGTCGTCCATGGCTGCTGCCCAGTTCCCGTCGCTCTCGTCTCTTGTGACGCCTTGTTCATTCAAACTCTCTTGGGACGCTTCGGCGGGAGCGCTGCTACAATTCCTCCATCACTCGAGGATGCTGCTGCAGCGTGGAGATCGACTGTTTCTTCAGAAATCACAGCATTGTTATGTGCTGGCCGTTGATAGCCCTGCTTAGCCACATAATGCGGCTGGGATTGTTTCTCGTTAGCGGCCTTGTCGTCCGTTTGGATGACCAGGTTTGCGCGATCCAGGATAGCCTGGAACGAGGTATAGTCGTACTCGTTGCCGAGTGCTGACCGCAATCCAGCGCACGATCGCGAGAAGAACTCGGATCGTTGGTTTGTAAAGCTCAAATCAAAGCCTGGCGTGGTCACTATCTTCTGCCACTTAATCGTCAAGTCTCGAGTTGGCATACTTCCCTGTGAGCAAGTGTACACCTCGTTCATGGCCGCCTTCACGACATTGCGGACCATGAATCGGGTGATCCATAGTTGCTCGAACTCCTTCCACGTAATGTGCGTGTGGAGTTCGGCGATAGTGCATTGCTTGGTAGCCGCCAGGTGATTCAGCCATGCCTGCGCTCCTCCAATCAGTTGTAGGTAGAGCGCCTTCAACATGTCTTCGGCCGGGACAGTGCGGCAGGATGCTTCCGTGAGGAAACCTTGCCACCATGTCAAAGCGTCGGTCTTGTTGTAGTCGTCGAACTTGCTGATGGTGAACTGCGGCATCTTGAAATTCTTGGTAGCGGCGTCCGGTCTCGTCTGCAGCTTGGTGATGTCCGTTTTGATGGCGGCCACTGTGCTACTGATCGTGTCCGGCCCATTCAAAACACCTATGTCGCCGATGAGATTGACGACATGATCGATGCGCCCATTGAGCTGCTTCGTCATGTCTGTCATATCTGTTGTGCAGCCTGGCGCTGCTTGGGGAGGCCTTGCCTCCAAGGTAGCAATGCGTGCATCCAGCTGTTTCAGCTGGTTGTCCGCGACCTTGACAGCTGCTGCAAGCGTCTTCACGTTGTGGCTCATATCGTGCTGCAGCTGCTGTGTGGACTGGGAATGCAGCTCCCCCATGGTGCTGTTCCAAATGACGGCGCGCATTGTGTCGAGTAGAATATCTGCCAGGTCTTGCCTCTCCTGTTGCACTGTTGTTGGCTCGCTGCCGGGTACGGGGACATAACGCATCCCGTTGAGTACCGCTGTCCATTGTGCTTGACTAGCACTTACAAGTTCAGCGCTGTCGGCGTTGAGCTGATCGATCGCCAACTGGTCTGCCTCGGCTTGACACCGGGTTTGTGCTGCAGCTTCCTCTGCTAGCCGTAGTCTTTCGGCTGCGGCAGCCTCTTGCTGTTCCTTGACACGGGTGAGTGCGACTGTATAGTCCTGCATTCTCTGAATGAAGTCCGGGAGGGGCTCATTCGACCCTTGCACCGGACAGACCGGTAAGGGTTCGGCATTACTAGCTGTCGAACCCTCGGATAATGATCCGCTGTGTGGCGTGTTCGCCTTCTGAGTACTGGTCTGTGGCGGTTGTTGAGCAGGAGGTTGCTGTTGCTGTTGCTGTTGGCGATCGGCGATCCGCTTGCTGCGTCGTGGCTGCTGTTCGGAGGCTGGCCCTGCTGGCATCAGGAACTGTTGCTGAAGGCTGGCTCGTCCGAAGGATCGCAGAACAGTGTGAGGGAGAGGGTGGGCACAGGGATAGAACAGACCAAGCAATCTACATACAGTCCCTGTCCCAAGGATGGACTTAGACACCTAATCAAGTAGAAAAATAAATTTTCCCGGAAGCAACTCGAAAATTCGTAATAAGGAAGAAATAACAAATTATTTAATCAATAACATTAATTAATGATAAATAACGAAATAATCATCCTTAATGATAATCAATAAACAATATTTGCAATACTGATAATGAACGAATTTGAATTGTATCTAGATTAGGTATCTGTTGAGATCATCTTTGAGTCCGGGAGTTCACCGTGATTTAGTGAACTACCCGGAAGTTGCAATGCTGAGGGTCAGATTCGGATTAGTTTGCCAAAAAAAAAATTCGGAAAAAATCAGGGGAGAAACACTCGAATTTTCAAAACGTGAAATTCCGGGAATTTCCACCGGCAAAATCCGATTTTTAAAGGCCTAACTCCGTTTTTCGGAATTTCTCAAACAAGGGAAAGAAAAAAAATTCGCGAAAATTTCAGCGTCCAACCCTAATTTTCCGCGATTCTGCGGAATTTCCGGATTTACGGTTCCAAAACGTTCTTATTTCCCAAGTTGATCGAAGACCAAAATTTTGTAACCCTAATTCCTAATACTGAAATAAAACGGAAATACTGACAAAGAAAACGCAATACAGGATGAAAATCAGAATGCTGAATTATAAAAACGGAAACTGACAGAATGCCATATTAGACAGAGTACCGATTTCGACCTAATCGTGAATCACTAATCAGAAATCCGAAGTAAACAGAATGTCGGATTAGTATCCATTTAATGGAACTCGAATTAAACAGCATACCGTAGTAAAACAGAAATCCGAATTACAAGTCCGAATACGGTATACCTATTTGAACGGAAATGCCGAAATAAACAGAATACCGAAAAAAGAAAAAAAAAATTGTAACTTTGAACTTGATAGTAATTCAGAGCTGATTTGGACGATTGAAAAAACAATCTACTTCCTAATCAGACTTACCTGGTGAGCAGATCCGTGAAATGGTCTGCTCCGATACCAAAACTGTTACATACTTCAACGAGTATGGGCAGAACCAAAGATCAACCAATGTAGGATGAGCATATATGCAGCGGAAGTCTGATAAACGGACTGACTCACATAGACTGACTCACATAGATATCACTCCACACACATACAATCGTGAGATGGTGGGGTCAGAGCCATACATGGACGATGCTCAGCCCCATACACACATGCACAGATGAAGGTGGGAGGAGAGACGAAGGAGGTGGGAGATGTAGGTAGCACCAAATGTCACCGAGATAGAAACCAGTAGGTCACCGATATGGTAATCCAAAATGTCATCGAACAAGATCAAAATGTCGAGGACAATAAGTCACCAATGTCGGAGATACAGAATCCTAATGTAACCGGTGTCAAATCTGTGATGCAGCCGAGTATCATCCCCAACAATCTCCAAGTCTTGAACCCGGTAAGTACCACAGCCTCTTGCCACCGAAGTCCAACTCTGATCTCTGTCCAACTAGTATAAGTCTCCAATCTGAAGAAGAAGAAGAAGAAGAAGAAGAAGATGAAGTCTGAAGAGAAGAAGAAGAAGAAGAAAAAGAAGAAAAAGAAGAAGAAGAAGAAGAAGAAGAGAGCCGAGGAGGAGAGAGAGAGAGAGGGGACTGGCGATGGGAGGGAGGAGAGAACCTCCGACTCCCGATACCTCAGGCGGCTATGGCCGCCGATGTGCTCAGTCGCCGCTGCTGCTGCTCGCTGCTGCTGCACTGCCGCTGCTCCTCGTGCTCCTGCGCTAAGAATAGCGCCAGCGCTGTCGCGCCGTACCATACCACACCGCTAGAGTGCCGGTGGGTCGATGGCCTGAATGAGGCCGGACCGGTACTTTTGTACTGGTGGGGCAGAGGCCGGCCTCAATGCTGCAAGGCCTGGCCGTGCCCTGAACCGTCAAGATGGACGGTTCAGCCCCAACCGGTGGGCGGCAGCCTCAAGAGCGCCGCCAGGCTCAAACAGTAATGTCGTTTGGGCCTGCCCGTCGGGTCTGGTCCAAAGTGAGGCCTTTACGGCCTGTAGTACCCCCAAGGTCGGGCCTTTAGGCCCTACTGTGTCCCTCTAACCCTAAGTCGGGTCCGGTAGGACCCGTGTGGCGTCGAAGATGTAACAGCCTGTGACTGGTGCACAGTTCAGAATTCGCAGAAATAACAATCCACTGCAAGCTTGGGCGAAGACCAGTTAGAAACTGCAAGAAAAACAGTAAATCATGCGTTCCACGGCCTACCAGTTCGATAATTGGCAAAAAGGGGACGTGGCGGTAGTGGTACTGCTCTTTTTCCCGTGGCCTGGCCTGGGAGCAGTTACCCGTAACAGGCCCTTCCGTTTTTGGCTCGTTTCCCCAGGGATGTGGCCTAGGCATTTCGCCTGTGGCCCAGCCACGGGCGTGGCCTAGGGCCCTAGACATCTCGGCCGTGGCCTAGACTAGGGCCAAAGACATCTCCGCCGTGGCCCAGCCACGGTGTGGCCTAGACATCTCGGTCGTGGCCCAGCGGTGGGCGTGGCCAAGACATCTCGGCCATGGCCCAGCCACGGGTGTGGCCTAAGCTCGTCCGTGGCATAAGCAGGCACGGAAAAAAAAAAAAAAAAAAAAAAGACTGCAGGGGCGGATTGATGTAGTTAGTGTTGAGTGTTTGAGTGTCTGAGTGATCCTTTTAGGATATAAGAGAGACTGTCCGGGCCTGGCTGGCCGGTACTGCTTTGTTATGTAGGACGCAGAAAAGCCTCGAAGGACAGATAGTAAATAGGATTTCTCATAGATAGACTTTCTCACTTCATAGATAGACTTTCTCACAGGATTTCTGAGATAGGCATAGCATTTGCAGGGGTTGTTCTCGGGTCTCTTTTCTTTTTGGTTATCTGCATTGTGTGCAATTGAGATTTCGTTATTAGGTACAATTACGTACAATTAGGAGAACGTCACTAGGTTATCTCCATCGTGGTCCCCAGAGGACACAGTTCATCTTGGAACCTCTTGTATGTGAGGGACGCCGAACCCGTTTTCCGGCTTATACAATTCAAAAGCGGCTCTCGTATGAACCAGGCCGGAGTGCCTGGATCATACGACATCGGCAGCCTTTCCGGAAAAAAAAAAAAAAAAAAAAAACAAAAAAAACAAAAAAACAAACAAACAAACAAACAAACAAACAAACAAACAAACAGAGTGGGTGGGCTGAAAAGGCCACCCGATGTCAGATTAGACACAATATTGAATTTACCTGGGCTGGTTAGTCCGATGATAATACCTCAAGGCCATCGCCCTTTAAAAAAAAAAAAAAAAAAAAAAAAAAACGAGTGGCCGCCTGATTTTGCCACTTCCGAACTTCCAACGGCTGGAAGTGCACAAAGCTGTTCTTTCTGCTTTTGCAGTTATTCCTGCGAAGTCGGAACTGTGCACAGCAGATATTTCAATGACTAAACTGTTTCAAACATGTAAGTTGATGTAACTAACAACGATCTGGTATGATTATATATATTAGGAAAGTGTGTCGTGTACGGGCTTCATGCAACGGGACTAATTGTATGTTTGCACTCGAGTTCAACGCAACCCTCATGATGAATGTATACGAGCTCTATTTCTGGTCGACACGGTCGTGATAAGTGTGCGTTCTATTCGGGCAAGCTGTGATACACCTTCCCGGTGTCATCTACTGGCTGGACCACTTCTACCTCAATCGGACGCACTGTCACTATCTCTCTATATAGACTGGAATGTGGTGCAAATACCGCAGCTATAACAACCGCGCATTCTATTCGGGTTAAGTTCAACCTGGTCATTGTACATTTCCCACATGCGACCGACGGCCACTGTCGCCAGTGTGTTTGCGCCGTTGTCGCCAGTGTGTTTGCCTCATCCCGTCTCAAGTCCAGGCGGTCAGATTTCTGCCCAATCAACAGATGTGAATTACTTGTGGTGCATGGCGAGCTGGCCTACTTGGCGTAGAGTCGTAGACGGTTCCCATCGGGATTTGACTGACTGCCATCCGCAACAAAGCGAGTCAACGCCAAGTCAACACCAAGTCAACACCAAGTCAACGCTTCTCCTTGTACAACTGCTAACCTTCTTGCCGCATAACACAGCGCTAACTCATCATGAGTGTATGGGACCAGGAACACAGCCTGTACACCTTCATGATCGGGGCTGCAAGCCGCAGCAAAGCGAGTCAATGCTGAGTCAATGCTGCTTCCCATGCTACAACTGCCTAACACAACGCACACTCTTCATGAGCGTATGGGACCAGGAAGATAGCCTGCATACATTCATGATCAGGGCGCCGGCCTCGGGGCAAGAGACGGTGGCCGGTCGAGACATCTCACTGACAGGTCTGTCCACGTGTAAGAGATCGCCTGTATGCACTGATGAGCGGGGCGCGCTGTGTTCGGGGAAAGAGCGCGATGGTTCAAGAGTCAAGACATGTCATCGTCCGATCTGTCCACGTGTCAAAATTTGGGTCAGACGTGGTGCCGTATTGTTGACGTGTATGGAAAAAAAAAAACGCATAAAAAAATAAATAAAAAACATGAAAACTACGCGGGGAAGACGACTACGGCAGTCAAGCGAGCTGCGAGACTGCTGAGTGCAGTTAGGTGGAGTCAGGTGCAATTATGAGATGTAATGGATGGTAATTGAAACGAATGAATATGTATATTAGGCAGTATAGCCATTGGTCCAGACTCCAGACTCCAGACTCCATA